TCTTCCCTACACCCATACCCAAGTATGTGCTTGGGATAATAAGTCTATGACTTGCCTAGCGTCTATTGCAACGGCCGGTCCTTAACTAACACAGACAGGGAAAAAGTGTAACCAAGCTATGCCCTGTTGGCCGCAGGACATAACCTCTTACATCCACCAATACCCAAACCATATCCCTGCCCGGTCACCATTTTTCCTTTCCACCATTTTATCATGAGTGATCATAATTATCACCTATTGTGAGTAACGGCATGTTACTCACGCTACCGATACACTGAGCATAGCAGCTACTCGACCTATACTAGTAGGACTCATAGGTAAGCATATCTATGCATGTACTTTCCATAAAATGCCTGTAACATAAATGCACATCATATATATATATATATATATATATATATATTCACTGATCATTCAAAAATAGGGGTTATGCACTAGGGCTTGCCTTGGGCAGGTGGTGTCAACAAAGTCAGCGACGAATGGCTTTGGGGCTCCCTCCTATACGAGAACCTCCTCCTCGTACTCCTCAATAATCTCCTCGTAGTCCTGTTTGTCCGCAGGCACGAACTCTACCCACTCGTTATCTATATGCATGAAATGATGATGCAACACTTAGTAATACGGCAACAGCAACTCTTAAAATAAAATACATCCATCAAGCTACTAAGCTAGTCCTACCGACTAAGGTGCTAAGTTACCTATTGTTACAACTAACAAGTATGAAACATGGCATGTACTACCTTAGCAACTAAAAGCATTCTTACTCTTAATACCGATTTACTCTATATATGATAAAACAAGGAGTACTAGCTATTCTATTTATCAACCTACTCTAGGGCTACAAAAATTACAGTAAGCACATAATAATCTAATGAGCCTACTGTAAAAATTTCATGGCTAAAGCTATCACCAATTTGCCACAAAAATTCCTACAAATATTAAGCTAAATAATACTAAGCTTTCTAAAGTGAATTTATGAGTCTATCATTACCACAGCTAACTGTAAACTAACTACACCAACATATAGATAGCATTTTAGTGAACCTAACAAATTTTATTTCACTATTTTTGGACATCTATAGAATTTACTATAATTTTTCAAAGTTTAGCTCAAAACTAAATCGAATAAACATTTATTACTTCACTGGAAAAAGGAAAACCGAATCCACCCGTGTGGTCCATCGCGCGAGCGGCTCAGCCCACTCCCGCGCAGCTTGTGCGCCTACGTGACCCACCAGCGTGGCCCACACGGTCGTGGCCTAGACGCGCGACGACGTCCCGCGACGGGGAGGCCCGCGCGCTATGGCCGTTCTACGAAAACGTCCCTGACCAACCGATGAATCACCCTGAGACCCATGACACTATTCCTTCAGTCATCTACTTTGTAGATAAGCCCTCGGAACACTCTGTCTTCACAACGGCGATACCCTCGGGCACCTACGCGTGCACCGGCGCGACGGCGCTGGCATAGGGCGGTGACGCCGGCCAGACCGGCCCCTCCCTGCCCCCAATAGTGAGTTGATACCTGCCTAGGCGCGAACGTGAAGCACTGGGCGAAGAAAGCGTGAGCCGGGACAACGCGGCAAAGTCGGACCACGGCGGCGGAGCTCCTGCAACAAGGCGGTGGTGTTCCGGTGAGTCACAACAACGCCGAAGTAAATAGGGTAGCGAGTGAGCTCCAGGCACTCACCACAGACCCAGACGAGGTGGTGGTTCGACCAAAGGCGGCCAGAGCCAAGTTGGCTGTGTGCACACGGACGGTGCAGTGGTGCACCGTGGTGGCAAGGCTACGTCAAGTGTGGCTAGAGGGTGGTAGCGACTTAGCAAGGGTGCGTTGGGTGATGAGTAGGTGGAGGTGAAGCTGGCGGTCCAACGAAACAAACACGAGCAGCTCTAGATTGGGGGCCTTGCCGTCGACACGTGCGGAGACGGATTTAACGACCCGGTGAGAGGAAAGCTCCAAATTGGATCATGGCTCAGCGAGTAACACCACACGATGGGGTAGGGTGGCTGGCTAACTACACCGCGAAGCCGTGGACAAAGCTAATTGGACCAAGGTGGCTCCACAAGGATGAATTGAAAGGCGTAGGTCCGGCGACCACGGCGACAGAGGAACAGGGGAAGAGCCGGCATGGCTTGGCTCGTTGCTGCCATGGCGGGACATGGCTGTCCACTCGGTGCACAAACGCGCATGTGCTACAGGGCGATGGGGGGCAGCAAAACATGCTCCAGACGGTTGGCCGCATGGCCATAAATCGCAAGCCGACGGTGGCGGCTCGGCCCTGTGCGCCGCAGTGGCTGGCGCCGGTCTGGGGGAGGCAGCAGCGCAGCGTCGCATCGAGCGTGGATGTGATGGCAATGCAGGCGGGGCAAGCCCATGCGCGGCAAGGCGACGTGCGGGCAGGGCCATGTGCCGGCCGCAGCAGGCCAAGTGTGGCCACGCGCACACGGTCCCGCGCTGGCGAGCGCAAGGTGGCAGAGCGGCCAGGCGGATGCGACGGCGGTGGCAGAGCGACTCAGACGACTCAGCACTCGCGGCCATGGCTAGCAGCAGCGCGGTGATGCGACGCAACGGAGGCAGCGAAGCGGCGGCGGCGGACTAGCCAGGGCAGCGGGCCCGCGACGACGGCGGTGGTGGCTGAGCGGCCAGGCCACCAAGCGCGGCGTGCGTGTGCGTGCGTGAATCGCGTGCTCGGGGCATGGCAACGACGGTGCGGGCCTGCGCGGCGGTGCGCGTGTGTGCGCTTGGACAAGCCAGTGCTGTGGCGCTGAGCCGACCCAAAGCCTGGTGACCGCGTCCAGATGTTGAAGCCGGCCAGGAACGTGCCTTGCACGCTTTTTAAAGCGTCCCAAAAATCCATCTTAGTGGTCCAGTTGCTAAACCACCTATTTTACACTCGAGATGGCATGTCAAGCTACTAAAACAAACCTGAAGACCATACCACTACTTAGCTCGATTCTTCTAAAAAAATTGCCGAACTTAGCTTCGTCAAAGCGTTTTCCGACTTAGGAAATTCGACTAAGTCTCGATCGGTTTCGCGTTGAATGCGATTTCCAAGCTATTAAGTAAGCTAGCTAGTGAATCCCGTTCTCGACCGCAAGTATTTCATCGTCACCTACGAATCTTATACTACAAACTTTATTAAAGTTCCGTATATGCATTCTATAATATTTTCGTTCAATAAAAATTCGTTTAAAACCCTAAGTGATAAAACACGGCATGGAATGTAACTTTCGTTTCGCGTTTCGGATGATCGTTTCAAGTTATGTACATTGCTTTGCACCCTATATTACACACATTTACACATAAATATGATGCTCATGCAGTGTTTTAGCAAAAGACTGTACATTGTAACACTGAGGGTGTTACAGACCATGCCCCCCAAAGCTAATCTATGTGTAGATAGTGTGATCATGAAAATTGTAGGAGAGTTACCAAATGTTTTGCTCCCGCAGCCTTCCAAACTCCAAAGCCTCGCTTCATCTCTAATTTTGCTTAGTATTGTTGGTTCATTGCGCTGGTAGGTTTGAAAATTTGCACATTTCTTTCTTTCCACACTACCTAGCACATTAAGATGGTCACGGAGCGCACATCTTTTTCGGCCACACATTGAACACAAACCATGTCACTCCACCATTCAAGGACACTTTCGCAGTGGATCCTAGGGAGGAGGCTGGGTATACCAAGCCAAGAAACAATGCCTTCCCACAACCATCTGTTGAAATGGTAATCTTGTAAAAGATGTAAGCTAGACTCTGGCAACTGCCGACACCATTCCACTGTGGAAAGCCTAATTGCGAAAATCAAGGAGGAAGCGAGGTCCTGGTGCTTTGCGGGAGCCAAGAGGCTCAAGGAGATTATCTCGAGAGCAGCCCTCTAGCGGAGCTCTTTGACTTTATGCTTTTTTACTCCAATTTGGAACTTCTAACTTACTCTTCTTCTCTATTAATATATGCCGGGCAAAACTCATGACAGTCGTTTCAAAAAGAAAACTGACGACACGGGGGCAATTTTTGGGGTTTGGCCAACCACATGCCCCCAAACGATCAGACGTCCAAACTCTATGGTGTAAAACAACCCGACTGAAGAACTTGTACTTTGGCGATGCCAAAGTCTTCCAAATAAGGTATTGTATGGATGTTGTCGAATTCACATCAATTCACATGTGTTAGGGTGGATTATGGTGAAATTTAATTCATGTCCACTCCAATCCACCCAACACGTGGGTTGATATAAATCCGACTACATCCAAAGAAGGCGGAGAAAAAATTGTCTTGGTGGAGCCAATAAATTGAGCCTTGTATTTACATTTCTTTATTTCTCTTCACATTTTCCCCTCATATTTGTGCAATTGTAGAGGGCAGGACTATTTCCATTTTCTAGAATAATCAGTGAGCACAAACAGTCACAGATACACAACACAGAGACCACAGTCAGAGTCACAGATTCACAGGTCCACAAGACCACAATCAGACATCACAGTCTAGTGGCAGTGTGGCATAGTACAACTTATATTTCGATGAAAATTACATATATTGCCTACCAGTTCATACATACCCATTAAGTTACTCATTGCTTTTTGGCATAATGGCATGGCTACATTGAATGCATGGGACTACTAAGCCCAAGCCTAAGCCCAAGTGCTTTTTCGGTGGCACGGAGCCAGAACGGCCACCTTCGGTGCGGCATAAAAACTAGTACTAGTACTAGTATTTACAGTGAACCATGTGAACACAAGGGTTGATCCAGCTGCAGCTTTGCGAATTCTGGCAGACTAGCAGTCTGTTTGCAAGAGACTGCTATATTAGGATCCAGGTAGGTATTGCAAGGACGATGTACACACTAAAGCAGCTACGATTCACATAGCATAGTCTTATGACTACTGCAGAGAGCTATTTGATAATCTGTTGAACTATGTACACATCTTCTGAGATGATAAGTTGGCTGGAGAAATGGGACATTCAGAATCTGTCTGCTAAGCCTCATTGCCTTTGGCAGTCTACTGCCTCTTTGGTTCTCTTTCTTCTTCAGTCTCCATATCCTCCTAACATCAATGGGCAAATTAGAACATACTTGATCAGCAGGCTCAGAAATTTCTTTCTAGAGTTCACTTTACTTTCAGAAAATTTGATGCAAATTTCCTCTAAAGATCACATTATATCCTACAAATTGCGTTTCATTTCGTTCCAAAAGGAAAGGATAAAAAAGGGATATCATTTTTCTACCTTAACAACTTTTAGGGGACTCGGGCTGCAGGATGCAGAAGAGCTCTCAACCTCTGGCTCTTCACCACCAACGGCTGCTCCCATCTCTTCTTTGATCACCATCTTCTCCTAACATCAATTGGCAAATTAAAAACCAACTTGATCAGAAAACTAGGAGTTTTTCTACTATGCAAACTGTGCATCATTTCTTTTCAAAATGAAAAGACAATTAAAGGGCTGTCACATTCTACCTTCTTCACTTGTAAACTGGAGCCATCGGATGCATAAGAGCCCTCATCCTGTGACAAATTACTATCATCTCCAGCTTCTATGTGAAAACCACTATCGAGCCGCTGCAGCTCATCATCGTTCAGGACGTGCTTCACCACGAAGCACCCATTGCCGCAGGTCACAACGAAGGCACGTCTGTGTTGCGAACTGATGACAGCTGAGATGCCATCACCTGTGACCGCTCCATTGAGCTCCTCTGCTGCAACACCTACAAGCTTTTGTGCTGCATCATCAAATATCATGACATTCACAGAGCCTGTCTCGTCTTCCATCACCGCATGCAGCTTGTACCTTAGCAACAACAACAACATGGTAAGATCTTTCAAAAGGAAAATGCAACATGTGCTGCATATGAAAACTACGAACTGAGCAGCCATGTGGGAATGGCAGCAATAGTCTTTCAGATTCTCACCTCTCAACAGATAGTGGACAATCATCGATGCACAAGACTTTGCTTCCACCCCAACTGATCGAGCGACGGCAGTGAAAGCATGACTCGTATGACCAACCTTTATTGCAGTCTATGCCTTTCAAGGTGGCTCTGCACAACCAGGTACGCTGCTATACAGAAAAAGGGACAGATAAGTGAGCAAGACATATGGTTTGAATCTGATCAGACGGCGCCACCTAACCTGTAATTCATATGCAGTGAGGCTTGTCAGTTGTTTTATTGTTCGCCAGCTATCAACTAACTCAGTTCGTTTTACAGGCTTTTGTAGCCGACATGGGAGGCGATCGATCGGTTTATGTGGACCATCCAAGCTGCGTACACATAGAACTATTAGCTCTGGCCTTATGTAGCCTTGATCAGCATTTCTGCTCAAGTATAAATGATTGAGTTGAGTCAGTCCACACCTTGCACGGAACTTTTGCACCTCCTCTACATCCAAATCCAGGTAGTATTTTGAAGCTGATGTTGAGCGAACTATAAATCGTATTTCTAAATAGCATGATGGTGAGATGAGATTTGAAAAACAGGGAAAGGACGATATTATGCAGTTAAAGAAATAACTGAGAGTATAGATCAGACCCTTGTAGTACTCAACTAGCATCCCTGCAAAAATAGCAACAACTGGGACTTTTTGGCCTTGCTTGAAAACCTGCTCTGCGTTGAAATTGCGACCCAAATCTCCAAAGAGAGTGACATTCAATTGCTTTCCCCTGTAAACAGTAATACATAAAGTAAGGTGCTGCCACAAAAGTAAAATGATGATTTGGAAGGAAGATTAGTAAACCATCACCCCAAATCGCGCAGATGTATGTTGCGAAAAGATATGTTACATAAAAGTACCCACTTCCAAGTCCACCCCTCATCTTCAATGGAAACTATCTGGCCAATGACATCTACCAAACAAGCAAGTTAAAGGGTCAATTTAGACATGTGCAAACAGCAAAATTCATTGCAATTATACTCAGTTCCCAAAACATCTACCCGTAAGCAAGCTCCTGTCATTGTTCCTAGATGGAAGATCACCAAAATCAACAAACTCGAAGCCATGGAGAGGTATCGAAGAACCGGTATGATCGGTTGTCTCGTTCACCACTGTCTGTGCTCCCATGCTAATTACTAAACCATTGCTACAGGCCATGTACTTGTCCAGTTTTTCGCGTACTCCGAAATTCGACAAGGCGTAGACCTTCCCTTCAACTAGCTGGTGTTTGAGTCGCTCCGACCCAGGGACGCGCACACGCTTGCATAACTACACCCTACAAAATTACAAATCACCAGGGAGAAAAAAAAATTAAGTGTGCTGGTACTGAAAAATCAGGCACTAGAGTGTGCTACTTCGATCACCAATGGGTTTAGTATGGACTAAAGAACTTTAATTTGGGGAATGGACTGGCTCACCTCGCTGTCGACCAGGAGGCAGCGGAGACCGTATTCCTCGCCAGTATTTGGATTGGAGGCCACCCAAATCCTGGAGACGCGCACCCGGACTCTGCTCCTCCAACCGTGGTATCCGAGGGTTAACTGAGACAACGGGGTGAAGGCACCTTGACCTTGTGATGGACCACGCATTCCGGCGGCATGGGGGCTCAAGCTTGTCGTCATCCCTAACCCTGAGCTGCAGGAGAACAAAGAACAGAACACAGTTGACAGATCAGCATAGAGCTAGAGAGTCGCAGAGACAGAGAGAGACACCAAAACCAGAGACGAGCCTTTCTATACTAAAAACATTCATGCGGCGGTAAAAATAAACCGCCGATTCAAGTTACTGCGCTATCCAGGTTCATCAGTTACAGTTGCTAGTGAAAGGGGGGAAATGAAGCGTCGAATCCTAGCCTAGCGAACGCATGCCGCTTCAAGAACTAGAGGCATCGGACTCATCACCGACTGGATTTCAAGAACAAACGATCAAGACGAGGTTTTTTTGCTTGAGATCAAGACGAGGTAACAGTCAAGAAACTGGTGTACCTCGCCTGGTGGAGCGACGGCGGCTTGCGCAGCATGTCTCACCTCCACCGGCCAGAGAGGAAGAGAATGCACCCGTTCGTGCAGAGCAGAAGTTAATGCAGAACAACTGAGCAGCTGAACTGCAAAGCCCCGTGTCCCGTGGCATCCGGAGTAAACGAGGAGTGCTTCCAAAAAAATAATAAAAGACCTGAGGAGACAGGCAAGCGGCTGGTGTGAAGTACTCTTAGACGGGACAGGACGATGCCAAGGCAACTGACCCACGTAAAAAGGTACTACTACCCCTATCGACAAACTGTTTACTCGCTCGAAAAAAAACATGATTTTTTTTTATTAAGGAGTCAATAATTTTGAGTTGAAATCAAATCTATATAAAATATATTTAATATTTATGAAATCAATTAAGTATTATCAAGGTGATAGATTTTTTTTTTTTACAATGAACCTATTTAGGACATCTATATCGTGTGGCTAAGAAGGTCCAAGGAAAACAAGAAAGTGCAATGCGTCGAAGAGAAGATGTTATGGCGTTTCCAACAACTATCTAAATAGCTAGCATTGTATTTTATTTCACTTAAAAGAGAAAATGTAGAAAATAAACTCTCTAGAGAGTGTGCAAGTAGTACGCTCGCACGTCTCCTGAGAAAACACCAAAGACCGTTTAGGCTATTGTTTAAATTCATAATGTAAAGTTTTTTATCACGTTGGGTGTTACGTGGAGGTGTCGTATATGATGTTTAAATACTAATAAAAAAATAAATTATAGAATCCGTCAGTAATTCGTAAATTTATTAAGCCTAATTAATCCGTTATTAACATATGTGTTACTGTAGCACCACGTTGTCAATCATGAACTAATTAGGCTTAAAAGATTTGTCTCGCAAATTAGTCACAAACTGTACAATTAGTTATTTTTAATCTATATTTAATACTTTATACATATGTCTAAATATTTAATGAGATAGAAAGTAAACTTTAGAGGAGGAATTAAACAAGGCCTTAGCCTCCTTTGCCTATAATGTGCAGCTACACCTTTTATCTCTTTCTTTATTCACTCACGTCTCTTAAAACCAGCTGGCGATTTTATCTTATCGTTGGGGATGCCCTAAGATTGAAAAGTAAATGCGAGTATACCTGTGCTGTGAAAAGTGAAAACTAGATAGGTTAATAGAAGAATCAAATAAATATTTATAGAATATTAGATTGAATTATTGAGGATGTAGTGGCCAAACAATCAGTATGATGTGGATGTCTTTGTATATTGATGTACTGAAAATAGTAATTATACTTAGTGAAAGATAATGTAATACTTAACATGTAGATAGCTTACATGCTGCGGTTAAAAGTTTGTGGTGTTTATTTTTACAAGTGATATAGATATAGATTTCTTGCGTGCATAATTTTCTTTGTTTTCCTTGTTTTCAAGGAAGTCGTTTATATAGAATATTTATACGTACATCGACCATCAATGTATTGCAGGCAGAACTTAAGTTATGATTAAATTTGAGGTTAGTTGATTCTTAGAGCAGCTTTAGTGTAGTTCAAAATTGAAGGATGAGCCACTCAAAATCGAACCATACACATGTTGCGGCGATCGAACCTTGCGTGTCAACGAGAATCGACTCTTGCATATGCGCCTCACCAAGAGAATAGTTTAATCCAGCAACTATCTTGCATGCAAGGTACCACATGCTAGTGGTGGAGCATTGGAGAGTAGGATGATGAGTAGCATAGAGAGAAAGTGTTTTCTTATTCATTGTGTGCTCTAAGAAATCGATGTATGCACTAGAGGTAGCGAACTTGCTGAAGATGATCGAACTCTGCTGCTTTTGTTCGACACCACACTAGAGCTGCCCTTAAAGGAAGATTGTATTTATTTCAAGACGGAGAGAGAGAGAGTATACAGAAGATTGTAGGTAAGCGCATTTATTTCACAAATCACGACATATATAATAGAATGCTATACAGATTGTCTAGGGCACGAGGCGAAGATATACAGCATATTTGCTTATTGGTTTCAGCCAGGGCTTATCAGCCAGCTAACAGTGTTTTTCTCTCACAACAAACCAGCACCAGTCAGACTTATCAGCCCAGAAACCAACCAACGATGCAAATGCACTCTCTAAAAAACTTGTGCATATAGGATAAGTTAAGTTGTTTGTACAGTAATATGGCACCAAAATGTAAGGTGCAAGTGCTGGTCTTATATCTCTCCAGTACCGTCGGTGAGCCTCACATGTCAATGCCATGTAATTGCACAATAAGTGTGTCGCAGGCAGATTAATCTAAGTTATGGTGATTTAAATGTCACATGACATAATCAATAAGTTCAGATACGTGAAAATGTATTTTTGAAGTTTTAGGACCTATATAACGCCTTGTGCCAAATTTGATAGCCCACGGTGCATTAGCTCAAAAAAAACACAGCTCACACGTGATTTGGGGTCGCTGTAAATCTCAAACTTGTTATGCTCTCCAACTCAGTTCCAGCTTATTCTTCACGCATGGCCGAATCGAGAAAATCAATAAGCTCGCTAGTAGTAGTAATGAAGTAGAACACAGAGTCATGGCACGTATCATAATTACTTTAGTAACTCTTGTTCAAGAATTACTAGTAGGGTATAGGTTCTTTGAATTGTTCAAGATGGAACCATGTACGCAAGGGATCGGCTAGCTGCGACGATCGATCGACTAGGTGTCCCGTGTGCGTACCTGCGCCGCCGTTTTACTTTGCAAGAAAGGGTTCCTGCTTGGTTGACCGTGTTGACGGTCGTGACGGTGTGAGCCCGCCGGACGACGGGGGTTCGGCGCCTCGGCGGCAATGGTGCCTCCGTTGGCCGTTGCTATATGCTCGCGGAATGGCGCCGCCGTCAGACGCGTAGCAAATTGATCCGTGCACGTACGTACCTAGTAGTACTAGCTAGCAAGGCACGGTTATATATAAACAACTTCGTGTGTGTAGCAAGTCTAAGACGAAGACGTGTAGACAGACACACACAGAGAGGATACACGAATTTTAATCCGAATCGGAGAACTATTTGCTTCTGATCAGAACACGCACGATACGTATAAAACGTGTTCGATCACGTATTCATGTCTGACTTAAAGTCGAACGTCGCCGCCGTCGATAAATAAATAAGTAAATACAAAAGCTAGCTAGCTAGCTGCCTAGCTTAATAGGATTCCTTTTGCTGTAGTATATTATCTATCTATCTATCTATCTATCTATCTATCTATCTATATATATATATATATATATATATATATATATATATATATATATATATATATATATATATATATATATATAGAGAGAGAGAGAGAGAGAGAGAGAGAGAGAGAGAGAGAGAGAGAGAGAGAGAGAGAGAGAGAGAGAGAGAGGCTGCGCTAGTTAGCACCAGGGTACTTATTATTATTCAGTACCCGAGGTCATCCCCACGCCCGCAGACGACGCACGATCGCCCGCGGCCCGCCTAAGCGATGCTCGTTGATATTTTTTTCGTGCCTGTTGCCTACTTACGCCTGTGTTTCTGGCCCGAAAGTCCGAAGCCAAGCATCGGCCCTTGAGTACCTCCTGTCCGCACGCACGAATGAAGACCGCGTTCCCTGTCCCACGTTCGGAACCGTCGCTGACCGCGTTCCCCGTCCCACGAGCGAGGAGAGACCGCCGAGCAGCCCGTACACCGGCGACACCCCGCCACGGCACCGACGAGGCCACTATTGGGGGGCACCTCGGACGGGCGGCGGCGCGTGAAACGCGCGAGCTCACGAGAAGCGGCGCGTGTATATTGCGAGTCTACATTAGATTAGAACAGTAAAAGAGAGATTAGAAATTTCTGTAAAGCCATTGTTTATCAGTGTTTAGAACAATACAAGGACATGAAAATCGGCCTTACAAGATTCTTCAGTATCTGTGCCATCGATTGTATTTTGTGTTCTAGCTGATCAATGTAAGTCATATGGTCAAGGGGAGTAACTGCTTCACGGGCACTCCTTTTACTTGATGAATCCAATTCAGGCGCAGGTGTTTCCTCTGCAGTAGGACTACTGCCATTTTCTGTTGCTGTTCCATTATTGGATACAGGTGCTCCGAACAGCTATACGTAAACACATATAGCTGTTGTTCTGTATCGAGTTTTTGCAAGTCAGTAACGATGGTTCCGGACTTGCAGTTGATCCATTTATATGAGTAAAAGAATGTACTTTAATTCAGTAACTATGTTTATCTTTCACGATTTTCTATAGTATGTATAAAGTATCCTTGGCTTACTGAATTATTCTTGCATACTTATTTCCCATTTATGTCAGCTTGAAGGTCCTATAGTCGTATCATATTTGAATGGTTACTGGATGTTACTTCAAGATGAATTATAAGTTAAACATTATTGATGTTTAGTAGTTCCAAAGTTGGTGTTAACTGTTCATGATACATGATCATCTTCATAGAAAGCTGAGATTTCTTTGGTACATCATTTTTAATGACCTACCTGGCACGATTTGTGACCAAATTAAACAAGCTGAGTGAACGAGATGAATTTTATCTTGTGGAGCAATGCTTCTGCGGGTGATGTCTTCACTTCTTCACTTGTAGTGGATGGGATCAGAAGTAATAATGTGTGCTTGTTTTATGTTTCACATAGCCTTTATTTATGGCTATGCAGTAATCCTTAAATGTTTCTGTGATGTTTCTCAGATTAATGATTATTTGAATGAATCGAAGCTTCGCCACTAGTCAGTAAAGTTATTAAATCAGAATGGGTTGCCGGAAGCAGCTGTTTGGAGAGAAGAGCAATTGTAAAGGGGTTGTGACTGAATCGTCAGCATCGCAGACAATGCACACAACTAATGTGGCTGTGGCAGATGGAAGATCAGAACAAGATCACGATGGGTTACCGGCATGCATTTCAGAAGGTGGAACATCATCGTGCACACCAGGCCGTAACGAGGATGTTGTGGCTGGCATTTCAGAAGCCGGAACATCATCCAGCAGAGGCATGTTCTCACCAATGGCAATAGTTACAGAAAGCGAGAACGCTACACCAGATGCCGAAAAGAAGTACACACATGTGAGTAGCTTGTTTGTGACATTTGAATAAGAAGTTCGAAGATTATGCTATGTGAATATGAAATAAAATTAGGTTTCAAAATTACCAAATGATCAAAGTTGTGATGATGGGATTCAGAAAATAGAGCTGAGAAGTATTCAGACTTGAGAAATAATGAAAAAAGTAAATGTACAAACTTGACATAAGCTGTAATGTGCATGCTTACAATATTTAGATTGAGGAACCAGACATGTTGAGGTCTTATATAGGCTGAAATTCACTGTAATCTATTTTGACTGAGATAAAAATTCGAGCAATTTTGCATTGCCTCTTGGTGGAAAATGGAAATATCTAATTGCATATGTTGTATGCAGAAAGAAGACATTGATCCTGCCCTCATTCCTAGGCCTGGGATGTCATTCAGAAACCGAAAAGAGGCCAGGGCTTTCTATGAAGCGTACGCCGAGGAGGTTGGATTCAATTTGAGCTATGGAAACAGTAAAACATATTCATATATTATACAGTGCAGCAATGAGGGGGTTCATACTTACTTTAAAAAAAATGAGGAGCTGCGTGTTAGGAACAATACCACAAAGAAGACACACTGCATGTCGAAGATGAAGCTTAAAAGAATTTATGATGAAAACAAGAATGAAATATCAGTGGTGATTGAGCAAGTGGATCTAATGCATAACCATCCATGTCTTAAAAAGAAAGAAGAAATAATAAATATGAGATCACACAAGGAAAAGGATCCGGTATTACTTGAGTTTGTTGATGACCTCCAAGCAGCGGATGTCCCGCATCATAGTATACAGAACATTGTTAGGGACATGCATGGGGGAGGTGAGAACGTGCCAATGACCAGGCGGGATCTTGAGAACAGGTCAGTGTGTGCCAACTCTTATACCATCCAGTAAATAGGTACTGTCGATTACATCTGTGTAATAGTAACAAATTTTTCAGGAAGGCGGCTAATGTGAGGGCAGAACATGCCAATGACATTGCGAAGCTTCTAGAATTCTTTGAAGACTGCAAGGCGCAGAACCCACAATTTTGTTGGTATGTCAAGATCGATAAAGAAGGGATGATTCATAGCTTATTCTGGAGTCACGCTAGCATGCAGGCAGAATATATTGATTTTGGAGATGTGATGACATTCGACACCACGCACAAGACAAATATATATGAGAAGCCACTAGCTATGTTTGTGGGTGCAAACCATCACCTACAGAACACATATTTTGGATGTGCGCTGTTAGGCGATGAGACAATAGAAACATTCCAATGGGTATTTCAAGCTTTCAAGAAATGCATGGGAAGACATAGGACTAGGTGCATTATCACAGGTAAAGTAAAACTATTTAAAAAAGTGGAAAACACCTTGAAGGTAGAATGAAAAACAATTTCAAGCTGTTTTGGTAGTATTAAGTTAACGATCCTCATGCTCCTATGAGTGGTCACGAGAAGTAGGTGCTACCGCAGGGTTCTTAGAAGGGGGATGACTTGCATCTGAATACCAAAAGGACCAGAAAAGGAAAATAATAAACAACAAAGGTAGATGATTTTAAGAATAGAAGAATCTTGTGAGCTTTCAGAACAAGATGAAAAGTGTTAATTAACAAAAGGACAAGCCGAAGTGGAATCAAAAGAATAATGGAAATTTAAGATAGCAAAATTTAAAATCCATGAATATTAAATTATTCTCAAATTATGTGTACATACATCAGATCATATAAATATAAATAAAAAATCATAAACAAGATTAGATAAGCTGTAAATGAATGTATCTAATTTTGTCTAGTCATTTGTAAAATACTAACTCCATACTGCAACAGATTAAAATTATAGTACAGCCATTCCCCTTTGCACCTCTATTTCGTGAAGCCGATGCAGATGTTCTACCAGGAGAGGAGGGTAACCTCTCGCCTTGTGGCAAAGGGACCTCATACCTAAATGGGAAATTATCACATTAACTGAGAGAAAAGCAGATACAACAAATGGAAAAGGCCACTAAAATTAAAAAAAAAAAACATGTACTGACCGCTGTTGAGTGCTCTCAAATACAAGCCTTTTTGGGTTGTCAGGCATCTTATCAACTAGCTCCAACCGGATTCTGAAGTCAATGATTTAGAATGCATTTAGAATACTGCATTCGTATACTCTACAACTTAAATTTACAAGCTCACTCCACAGAACAATGTAGTTGCAACTGCTGAGTCAATGTGAATCAGGACCTTTTCCAGCATGGGTCTGCAAATGCAGAATAAATAGAATTGCTTTATTAAACTATAATGACGCCATAAATAAAAAATACGTGTATGATCTGAACAAATAAAAACAATGCAAAGCTGAATCAATGTGTGTGGTTTAATCTGTCTTATGTCTTCTTTTTATTAAGACACTAATTGAGTATGAGGAGGCATACACTGCAGCAGCGCAAACACACAACACTGTACCATCACCACCCATGTACATGTGCACCTAAACCCAATACTTAATTTATCAGAGGCATCTAAGGTTTCAAAGAGTGTGGGTACATGCTTTGCAACTGATTACTGATGCACCAAGTCAGGCTGGTGGGCTGAGTGCACACCCGCACTGATAAAAAATGAAGACCTTGATGTTGAGAGCTAAACACTTCCAAAAGTCAGCTGCCTAGCCTGCTTGCTATTTCTAGAATGCCACATAAAGATCGCTGGTAGAATATCTTGTCAAGTTCATATCCATGTATTTGACCATCTAACTTGTGAGACTGTAACGATAGGAAGTTTTGTGCCTCTACCTCATGCTTACAACTGCAGTTATATATTGTACTCAGAAATAAATTTGAAGGGTTCAAATTATAGATGCTATAAGACAATGTGTGGGGTGAGACATTGTAGTTTCTTCAATTAAGGGGCTAAGAGGCTGAGTTTCTATCGTAAACCCATGCGCTGTAAAAAGGATATTAGAGCGTTCAGAGACATTCATAATTTGATAGCTGGGCCTGTACATTTGACAGATGATTTACTGATTTAGTAAAGATCACTGGAGGTAGACAGCTGTGACTAATGTCTGAACTCAGGGTAGATGTATTGCTGTGCAGTTTCTTGTGGATTTACTGTATTGTGTTTATTAATTCCAAGGTATTGAACACATGAATACTGATGGGAGCACTTGTTGAACTACGAATACATGATATGTTACTCTTTTCAAATGAAGCAACTAGTTCATGATGGTAAATAAAATATTTCACATGGACATTGAGGGACCTGTGATTCTGATTAAACACAAGTATGGAGAATATATTATTTCTTAAAGACTGGATATCTGTAATTGATTGAGGCTGAATATAATATCATCTTCATGATGGTAAATAAAATATTTCACATGGAAATTGAGGGACCTGTGATTCTGATTAAACACAACTATGGAGAATATATTATTTCTTAAAAACTGGATATCTGTAATTGATTGAGGCTGAATATAATATCATCTTCTAAAGTTCTAATATTGAAACACACATTGTTTTCAATGACTTCGGAGCAGCAAAGCATGGTGTATAGTTTCATACTTCCATAATGTGCTTGCCTTTTAACAAAGAGTACCCATATCAGGGAATCTAATAGTGAAACCAATTTGACACAAAATTAATGGGAACAACAAAGCGAGATACATGAATAAGGATATAAAGGAAACCTGAGGGACCAGGCGGCTCCATCCCAAATGATGCAAGCTCGGCAATCAACGAGTGTAATCGGCAATCAAGGGCCGGCGCGATGAGTCTGGGAACGCACAGCGCAGGGAGCGGCGCGGCAGGTACGGTGGCAGGGGCAAGCCGGCCGAGAACGCCAGGACGGGAGACGCGATGCGTCTGTGGCCGCACAGCCCTGAGCGGAGACGCGGCGGGACGCTGGGGAACGCCGGCCAAGAAGGCCCGGCCGGGCGGCGCGCTGCGTCTACGGCCGCACGGCGCTGGGGGGCGGCACGGCGGATATAGGGGTAATTATTGGTTTATCCTGTAATTTACAAGATCATATCAAGGAAGCACTAATGTATCTGAATACTCTTCTCACAATGGTATAGCTTAAAAATGTACAGCTGACTGCATTTTAGAAAACAATGAGATGCCAGCATAGCAAAGGAACTGCTTCTTACAACGCTGAGCGGCGACACGGCAGGGCGGGACGCTGGAGAAGGCCAGCCGAGCACGTCCGACCGGGGGGCGCGCTGCCTCTGCGACCGGGCGGCGCTGGAGGGAGGAACGGCGGGAGAGGCGTCGGAAGGAGGTGCCGGCGATGGAGGGAAGACGGCGCCGCTTCCCCCGCTGACCACGTGCTCCAGGTGAAACGGCGTCGGAAGGGAGGTGCCGGTGATGGAGAGAAGGCGGTGCCGCTTCCCACGCGCTCCAGGTGAAGCCGAGCGGACGCCGGACTGAAGAAGGCGACGGTGAGCTCGGCTCCAGGCGAAACCGAGCGGACGCCGGACGGGCGAAGGGCGACGGCGAGCTACTCGTGCTGCGAGAGCGGCGGCGACCTGGGGTGTGCGAGCTGCGGAGGCGCGGGTTGTGTGATATGGGGCGTGCGATCTGGGGCGTGCGGGAGCTTCGGAGGCCGCTGAAACCAACTCGAGTGCGAGATTAGAACGGGGAAGCGGCGCCGGGATCGACCTGATTGGAATTGAACCGCAGAGAACGTGGGCAGTGGGTTGGGGAGCGGTCATCGAAAGGCCGGGCCGGGTGGCTGAGCCAGAAGGCCGCCCCAAACCCCTTGACGTAGGCGCGCGGAGTCTGCGGAGGACGGTGAGCCAGGCGCGCGGTGGGGAGGCTCGGGTACTAATTAATATTCAGTACCCAGGTTATAATATAGAAATACTATATATATATATATATATATATATATATATATATATATATATATATATATATATATATATATACGCGCGTGCGCGCCATGGTGCTGACGAGGAGCATGGCGGCACGGCGGAAGCCGCTGGCGCTCCCGCACGACATGGTCGTCAAAATCGCGGCGCACATCGCCGCGACGTCGCCGCAGCCGATGGAGGACATCTGCAGCCTAGGAGGCACGTACGTGTCCGTTTGCACTCCACCCACCCCTTGCCCCGCACGGATGACATACATTCATTATTCATGACTACGTACGTACGTGTCGACCGGTGCATGTAAAACACGTACGTACGCGCATTATAAACTTGCAAATTGTCTACCGGTACATGTCTTGCAGTTGCCAGGGCATGCGCATAGCGTGCAAGGAGGGCGCCGTGGGGAGCCGCGTGGTGCTGGAGCGAGAGGAATCCATGAAGTGGTTCGACAACGACCGCTACCTCGCCCTCGTCAATAACCTGGCCGCCGCCGGCAACCGGAGGCCTGCTTTGTGCTCGGGCTCACGCTCGTCTTCGCGCAGCAGCGGTGCACGGCGCCCGCCGGCACCGAGTGGCTCAGACGGGCGGCCTACGTGCTCGGCGTCCTCCACTACGGGGACAAGGACGCCCGCGACGGCGCCAAGCAGTACATCAGGCAAGTCGAGGGCGAGGCGGCGCTCGACGGGTGCAACAGCAAGGTCTGCAGGAGACCAACCGGGAGTGCGTGAGGTACCCTGAGCTAGCCGTCCAGGCGGTCCGGGACGTGACATGGAAGGTGGACGGAATGATGAGCCCTGTGCCGATGCCGGTATTGCCGCCGCTGGGGGAGGAGGACGTCCAAGCAGGCTGCAAGGGCAGTGGCTGCGGCGTGCTGGAAGGATGGACCGGTGGCTACGCCGTCTCTAGTAGCGACGGCTGTAGGATTAGGCACAGCACTCCGAGTTTTTTTCGTGCGAGCACTCCGAGTTTTTTTTTCGTGCGAGCACTCCGAGTTTTTTTCGTGCGAGCACTCCGAGTTTTTTTCGTGGGTGTCATTACCTGTTACTTAATTAGAAGCACGAGCTAATCTCTAATCTCTTATATCTATCTATACGGCCCCGTTTGGCAGGGCTTCACTTCACTAGTGAAGTCATTTTTTTTTTGCTTCAGCTCCACGAACAGTTCCGGTGGAGCTGAAGCGATTTTGGTAAACCGTTTGGCAAAATGGTTTTCCTGTGAGAGCATGTTTTTAGGGGCTTGGAGGAGGAGCTGGGAGAAGCCACTTTTTTTTCTCCATCCCACCCTAAATCACTGTGAGAGCATGTTTTTAGGGGCTTCAACAGTGAAGCTATTTCACTTTACCCCGTTTGACAGAAAACGGCTCCAAACGGCTCCTGAAGCTGGTGGAGAAGCCCTGCCAAACTGGGCTATATACAAAGGAGTGAACAGATTGAAAAATACTCGTTACCTTAAAAACATCTTACCCGCCAAAGATCCCATAATATGTGGAAGTATCGACGTAATTTCATAGAGTCATTCGATCTGAATGCTACATGAAGAACATAAGCCAGATGACAGAACGCGGAGACCTAGGATGTAGAAGATCATAACATGAGCGATTCAGCGGATTTGGATTCCTTTTCTATATATCCACTCATGTGGTACTTCATCATACGATTCATATAAGATCCATATGTCTAGAGATCGTCATATACATCTAGAAAGCCGTATGCTCTGGAAGAAGCTTGTACAGTTTGGGAAGGGGTTTTTGAGAAAAAAGAAGAATCTACTTCAACTGATATGTCCTTAGGCACGGCCATACATAACATAGAAATCACACGTGGAAGGGGTGGGCAATTAGCTAGAGCAGCAGGTGCTATAAGCGAAACTGATTGCAAAAAGAGGGTAAATTGGCCACTTTAAGATTACCATCTGGGAGGTCCGTTTGGTATCCTAAAACTGCTTAGCAGTGATCGGACAAGTGGGTAATGTTGGGGTTAACCAAAAAGTTTGGGTAGAGCCGGATCTAAGTGTTAGCTAGGTAAACGCCCGTAGTAAGAGGGGTAGTTATGAACCTGTGGACCACCCCATGGGGGTGGTGAAGGAAAGCCCCCATTGGTAGAAAAAAACCCACAACCCCTTGGGGTTATCCTACGCTTAGAAAAAGAACTAGAAAAAGGAAAAAAATATAGTGATAGTTTTATTCTTTGACGCCATAAGTAAATACGTAACTAGGAATATGGAAAATTGCATTTTTGGAAATTGCAATAATGCGATGGGCGAACGACGGGAATTGAACCCGCGCATGGTGGATTCACAATCCACTGCCTTGATCCACTTGGCTACATCCGCCCCTTATCCAGCTAAAGGATTTTCTCTTTTTTCCATTCATTATTATTCTATTTATTCTGACCTCCATACCTCGATCGAGATAGTGGACATAGGATGCCACTCTTTAAAATGAAAAAAAGGAGTAATCAGCTGTGACACGAAAAAAAAAAACGAATCCTTTTGTAGCTCGTCATTTATTGGCAAAAAATCGAAAAGGTCAATATGAAGGAGGAGAAAGAAATAATAGTAACGTGGTCCCGGGCATCTAGCATTCTACCCGCAATGGTTGGCCATACAATCGCGATTCATAATGGAAAGGAACATTTACCTATTTATATAACAGATCGTATACTAGTATTCTCTTAGGACTTGGAAGTGTAGTTGTCTTTCCTTAGCTGCACAGGCAGTAAAAGTAAAGAGCTAGAGGTCGGATCCATCCTCTCCTCTATTAGGCTAGGCTGAGCAGCACTTTGCGCATTCAATACGGCACTATTTGAAACTGGGCTATTTGAACCTGGTCAACAACTTAACTTCTCTTCTTGCAGCTTTGGGTTGATAAGATAGTTGGTTGTGGCTTAACAGAATTGGTACTATGTCCATCCTGATCTGTGACTTTGACTCTTGCTTTGATCCCCACGTTCCATTAGAACGAGTGTAGGAACCCTCTCTTGTCATAACCTATTTGATTTACGAGATCCATTATTCAATAGATAAGCCACTTCTCTTGGTCGTGGGGGAACTATGATCGATTCTATACCTAATATAAGATATTGAATGAAGGTAACACAGAATGAAATAATGGTTTATAGCAGCCGTTAAGTACCCGTTCTTTCCTGGGCACCGCTAATCGGAATACAACAACCGTACCATTTTGTGGAATAGGAATCAGCCCACAACCTCACATCATAAACAGCCCAGGGTTTAGTTGTTTCCCCGGAATAGGCCTTGCTCAGAGGATACGAATCGAAAGCCAGTCTTCGAATGTGCTTAGCCTTTCCCGAGGATATTACCTTTTTCTTTGATCCAGCGAGCAGAAGTCTTTCCCTTAGCATTGGTTTCATGGCTTAGGAGTACCGGTACTGTTTGAATTGCTTTGCAAGGAAATAGTCGTTGTAGGATCGTATCTCCACGGAAGTACCGTTGTAGGATTTACTGCCGTCTACTACTATTATACTATACGAGAATTTCCACCTTGTTGAAGATCTGGTGGTGCTACCCGAAGACTTAAATGAATAGCCATCATTGTTAAGAACAACCGATGCCTTATGTATGTGTATTGGATCCGCTCTTCTGTTAGCATGAACACATGAATGAGATTCTATCCCTCTTCCTTATTCTTCAAAAATAGAACCCCCCACCCTCACCTACCCCCCAACCTAGGTGCGGAAGTCAAATCAATCCTTGTTTGTACATCATTTGAACTTACATACCGGGCCCGGCTCAACACATTCTTTTAAAACAATCGAATAACGGCTTTTCCATGACTTGGCCATTCAATCTTGTGAACTAATCGAGACCGAAATTGGATAAAGAGATACAAAAGGAGAGGAATACCCAATCGATGAAAGAACATGAAACCCTTCTGTTTCTATAGAGGTGCAGGGAAACGGTTGGGGGCAATAAAGTAGGTGAAGTGGTTGGATTTTGCGAGCTGTTCCAACCACTGCTGGATGTGACTCCAAGAGCCGAACGAGAATGAATACCACACAGAAGAGTCAAGACCGGGCTCCCTAATAGAATGTTTAACCGATCCATTCCGGATCGATCGAATTGGTACAAAAGTTGTAACATGGGAAAAGCACAGAAAACACGACTTATTTGAATAACCCGGTGACCTACCAATTGTAGAAGTAGGATTTTTGGCAAGCAATAAGCACTTAAATAATACAATTCGAGTGTACCAGATTCTTTATCATTTCGAGGAAAAGGTTCGGGAGGAAAGGGAAACAACAGAGAGATCCGAATCGAACCTAAATGGGAATGACATGAAAAATCTTTTTCAAAACCTATCATTAAGGGCGTGACGACGATATACGAGAGGAATAAAAAAAACTCGTGATTGGTGTGGAGGGGAAGATCTGCTTATGAAATTGTTCAAGAAAGAGTCGTCTCATTTCCTTATTTCTTCGTTCTTTCGAATTCATTCACTTCGACGGCTGGCGCTACGCTAGCTTTGCATGATTAGCTCCGACAGAACAGGTACTGTACTGCATTTCCTTAGTTGGATCCGCTCTTTCTCTCTCGTGCAGTTGTTGCTTCCGGCTATTTATTCAGTCGTCAATCAGCATTGATCTGGGTAGTTAGTCAGTCTCTCTCTTTTTTCCCGTCCTTCTCTATCTATGAAATTCCTAATTAAGGGAGTTCGCTTTCCAATATCTAAATGTTCATGCAAAGCAACAAACGAAATGCAAGAACTGTCACGCAGAAGTCACACAGTATGCTGATCGTTCTTAAATGATAAAAAGTATGGGATTTCATAAGAGATTCATACATAGAGATCTAAACTCCGTGTTTCCTCTGTGAAGAAACCAACACCGGCCCAAGTTTTTTTCATCGCGAAACTTTCTTACCCAGATTAAAAAAAAAACTTTCCTAACCGCCCGCAGGTACCTGCGTCCTCGCGACACCGCCACCTCATTGCGAATTCACGCTTCCTCGCACAAAAACTTCCCAGTCCCGATCCCCTCGCCTCTTCGATCCAAATGGATCGGCGCCGGTGTGCAGTTTCGTGAGAAACCACCCAAGAACATCGGAAGCGGCAGCGCCCTGCCGCGCCCGCGGGATCTGACGACGACGGCGGCGCGCCCTCGCGACAGCACGCTCCAAGAAGGGGCCGCCTGTCACGAACCTTGACTATCAATCACAAATACAAGAGTAACTTGATACAATTTCTGGAGAATCGGACGGAGTTTAGACTGGGTACAGCAAGGATCTGGGGAAGTTAGCAAGAACAGCAGGGGAGCGGGTGCCTGGAGGGAGGAGGAAGACGAGCCGGGATTCTTGGTAGTTCTGTTCGATGCCCCTTCCAGATGCCGGTTGGACCATTTATCCTCAACGCTGCTGTCTTGACAATGTAGCTTGGAGGCCCATCCGATGGCCCAGCCTGGAAGCCCATCGACCGGCCCAGTTACTGACATTCCCCTCAGCTTGAAATGCGGCTTGCCCTCAAGCCGCTACTAGGAACTGCCAAGCTGTAAAGTATTTGCAAGCCTCTGATGATAGTTTGCCGGTCATGAAGGCTGAAAATGAACTCCAACCAGGGTGCCTGTTTCTCTGCACAGCAGATACTTCGAAAGTATTCCACCCTGGAGATGCCATATAGTGTTACCTTCGATAGTGTGTGTTCCCATGAAGTGTCCACGGTAACCCATGTAGCATCCAAGGTGGTGTTATAATCATCATATCCACCTGATAGCACTTGGTGAAGAATGGAACTTGCAACTGTATCCAAGAAACACTCCAAGCTGCTCCTGGATCCTTTGTAAGTCTATACTGAACCTTTTCAGCAATCCTTTCCATGAAGTATAGCTCATGCTGGTAGCCCATATCAACAAAAATTAGGACCCCACTACAGCCATAGTGATCAGCACTCATGTGAGAATCTCCATGCTGCAATCCATGTGCCAAATCACTAGGAAATTCAATCACTTGGACAGAAGTGGAATGCTTGGACCTGTCGACTCTCAAACCAGCCCTGCTCTGGCTGACCCAGTTGATGTTACAGTCAACTTCAGAGAACTGGCACCATGTAACAACACCCAATATCATCGGAATCTGTAGGCGCACTTCTTCATTTTTTCTTGCTGTTTCCTCAAACTGAAAGAACTGCACACCTGAAATAGTCACTGTGATCATAGCATTGACATGTTCAACCCATTCCATCCATGCATATGGTAACCAACAGCAACAGATTGGTACAAAGTGAGTGTGCACCACAGACTGACTGTAACGGAATAATAGTGCAGCAGTAACAGAGTAGTTCTTTAAAGGTGTACACTTCTTCAGGCCTTCTAAAAGTTCTCCAGATAATTTCAAAGGAAACCAATGAGTTCTTCACTAATTGCATGTCCTCACAGAACTCCTTCAAGCCAATAGGCTTCCAACACACTCCAACAAGATCTTATTTTTTGTGAGGGTGGAATGCTTTTTCTTGGGCTTAGATGGTATGATACGTTTTATACTATAAATACTTCATAATTAAAACGCCGACATGATTGATCTTCGGAAGTTCATCGAGTACCTCTGGCCAGGAGATGAGCGACGACATGATTGATCTTCGGAAGTTCATCGAGTACCTCCGGCTGGGAGATAGGTGACGACATGATTCGTGATTGTGGTCAGCACATGAGACGTGCCTCACGCTCGCCGGAAGGCTACGGTAGCGACTAACGACGATGGTGGGTTGGCGGCGCCGGCAATGCGGCCAATGCGTGCAGAGGGCATTGCGGGTGTATGCAGGGATTTCGCAGGCCATGTATGACCGCCCGCTGGGCTTAGCAGGCTAGTCTGCTTGAAACCGCAACATCTGAACAGGTTACCTGCATTGTCCAACAAGTCAATTTTGCGGGGCGGGCAATGCGGGCTGGCCCGCGCCGCTTGCATCCTTAGATTTTTTCATTGTTCACCGAGTTAAATAATGCTCCAGCTGCATCGAGCTATGCCGTTGGACCCCCTCGGCTTCTATTTTTAGCAGCACTGTCAGTTACTTGTTTCGGTCAACATGCAAATTGACAAAAGATGCAGTTTCTCGGAAGTTTGCATGCTTCCGCGCCGCGTGAAGTTCGCCAATAAAAATGTGCGGAAGAGTCGAGCCATGAACCAGAGAAAACGCAAAAAAAAAAAAAAAAAGAGAGAGAAAAGAAAGAGAAAAGAGGCCCACAAAAGTAAAAATGGCCCGATGGTCATACAATAATTTACAGGTCCTAAAACACTTCATCTATAGACATCGCTGCAGCATGACGTCTATTCCCATCTACCATTGTAGCACTGCCAGAGCGTCCAGGTCCATGCATAAATCAAGACGAAAAAAAGGAAAACATGGGAGAAAGCAGCATAATGGGGATCAACAGAAGAGAAACAGAGATAGAAGAATATGCCTAGGGGGCATCAACATACAGATCCTCGAGGTATAGGTATAGCTGAGGATCCTTTTCAACCAACACAGAGATGCTTTGAAATCCGATCAACATACATGAAGAAGACCCAAAAAAAAAACTAATAATTAACTAGTGAAGCAAAATGAGAGTACGCACATCTACGTGAGAAGATCTTCTTCTTAAGCCAGAATACCTGAGGGCTGTCTAGCTACCACGGATCGAGTTTTTTTAAATCGATGCCCTTTTGGTGGTTATGGTAACCCCGTGCTACAAACACTAATATACTATGGTTTTGATGAGATCACTCGTGAAGAAGTATCTATTTGGAGAGACATCTTGAAAACATGTCTATTCAAAGCTGTCTCTATTTAGAGATACTCTAGTCTTGAACTCTTGATGAGATAACTCGTGGAGATGTCTATTCAAAGCGTGAAGCGTCTATTTAGAGAGACATCTTGTAGAGATGTCTATTCAAAGAGATACATATTTCATATCATATGGTGTAGTTCTATTTTTTTCCCAAAACTTAGTTAAGTTAGAGATGTTTAAAATAGATAAAGTGTACATGCATTAGACATTTGACTAGTTAGCGTGCCCGTGCATTGCTACGGGACAACTAAACTTTTGTACTAAAAACACACGGATCGCACGATAAGATAACAATACTATAAAATTAAATACCGACGTTAAAGTGATATTTAATATAAAAAAAAATAAAGTTCATGAAATTAACACAGTCACGTAGAGCGCGGCGTCACATGCTCGCAAACTCTACTATATAGACCTTTTTGTGATGCGGCTAAGATAATATTTTATATCAGCAGGAAGAAATCTCCTATATCTGTTTCTTTCGTGCGCCAATAAATCTACAAATAAGTTCTATCGCATCTCCATACTATCTTTGCGGGTTTCTGAATGCTTCCTCGTCTACCTCGCTTTTGTAGAGTTGTTCGCTACAGGGAAAGAAGGAATCACGCATGATTGAAAAGGAGATAATCGCCACAACCAATACATAATGTGATTATTTTTTGTTTTTAGAGATTTGTTTTTGAAAGAAAAATCAGAGGGAGGGGCAGCGCAGCGAGGCGCGAGACCAGAAGGAAAACTACAAGCAATTCGAGACTCAAATCCGAGCGATCGTGGGGAGGAGGGATGGCAGGATTCGGTAGACCGATGACCAGAGGGATTTTTTTCACATGATGACGGTGCCTGTGATTGAGAACGATTGGTTTTGGTTTCATGCCCGCGCGTTGCAACGGGAGCAACAAAACTAACACAATCAAGATGATGGTTCATGTCTATATGTTTCCATGCAATGTTTTTAGTGAACTCTTAATATTGAACAAGACTAACACAATCAAAATTTTCTTTTTCAAATTAATTTTTTATTGCAAGGTGCTTCGTGATTACAATTACAAAATACTGAAACATAACAAAGTGCTCCGTGATTCAACACCTAAGCTGACTGTTCGCTAGGCCTTTTGAGAATGATCTAATCATTGGAGCCTTTCCCTAAGAGGAGGCCTCAAAAACTAATTTTCTATCATGCTTCAATCGTTGGGGCAGCACCAGCACTCTCGACACGCCTCCCCAGTCGCCATCTCTGTCACTAGTGTGACTGAAACCAAACAACTGTTGCGCTTCAATTCATTGATGTAAAAGAAATGCACTGCATCCTTTTCAAATAGGAAACTCTAGGAAGCACTGCATCAGCATATATTCATTCAATAACCACTGCCATAAATCATGCACCAAAATATGACACCCGAAAAAGAGCTAGAAGAGAAGCACATCTTAGCTAGATAACAACAATGTGGCCCTCTACTCAAAGCAACCAACACAATCCATTCTAAAGAAATGACAAAAGAGTGCAGTGCAATTGGACAGGCTATGGAAAATAAACATGTGAAATTTCATGCCAGTGCCGCCTTCGGCCGCCCAGTCTGTGCATTACCATTAATCATCGCCGTCCAAGCCATGAGATTCTTTGCCATCATTTTATCAAACAGCTCGCGCGCATTCTGCACCAGTTCACACTTACAATAGCCAGCAATGAGTCAAGCAGTCAAGGCATAAAGAGTCAGACGTACTGTACCCCCTCACCATGGATCACATCTCCAATGCCATAAGTAGGCTTTGCTCCATGGGTGTCTTCAATAATTCTGTCCGCAGACTCTCTGCTTACCACAAGAACCATTCTGATGCCCATGAATGTTCGCCGCATCGCTGCATCATCAATGTTTCCAACCTACAGAATATATAATGTTAATATGTTAAAAGGTATCTAGATCTAGGCAGAGATCCAGAGCCATGCAGATGCTAGAAATCATAGTTGAATCTCGTGGGCCATTTGTGCTTGCCTGTTGAAGCTAGTTGAAGATAGGAGGCACTTTCCATGACCCAGTAAAACTTTTTTGCCCTGAGTCCAGATGGAAATACTCTTGGAATATTCAGCCTGTTCGTTTCGGCAGAAACGATCGTGGATTATTACTGCTAGCTGGTTTGGTATGAGAGAAAAATACTGTTCTGGCTTATAATCCATGATCGCTTACAACCAAGCGAACAGGCTGATTGTCAGTAAATCCACCACCAGTAATGTGGGCTAGTCCTTTCACACCACCCTTGCTAAGAATCTCAAGCACCTTTTTTTCATTTCAAACAATTTCGATTAAAAGTTCCATAAAATTCTGAAGAAAATACGAAATATAGATACACATCAGCAAAACCAACCTATTTAACATAGATAACAGTTGGTGCCATTAGAGCTTCACCAATAGTAGTTGTTATGCCATCATTTCTTGGGAGCTGGTCACTCAAGGAAAGTCCGCTTTTCTCCAGTACTCTTGAAAATTAAGGATTTTCAGCCATCACTAACAAGATACATATAATGCCCAACAATACAAAGAGATAAAAATATAGATAATTCATAAATCTGGAAGGCAGACCTATCAGGACATCTCCATGAACAATGTTTTTTTTTCCATCAATGACTTTATCTTTTTCACAATACCCACAGCAAAACCACTAAGATCATATTCACCCTCTGTGTAGAAACCAGACATTTCTGCTGTCTGCAATGATCAATTATCAGTTCATATGTTTTTGGATTTTTCATAAAAACACGTAATATGTAATGCTTTAGGTGGATTAATTTGAGTTTGTAAGAAATTAAAGGTATACAAAGCAAAAAAAAATCAGAATATTTTGTTACACTGGTATTATTATTAATCAGGTTACCAATCACAAACATTTAAATTTTGCTTTAGTAAAATTCAGATAATAATCAAGTAAACAATTATAACAATAAATATGCAGCAATCAAAGACTGGCAGTGCAAGATGTTTGATCAGTTCATATACAACTACTGTGACTTATTATAAGGATAATACTGCAGCGTTGAATTGCTAAGTCATGGTAATTTAATTCAGAATATTTTACCTCCCCTCCTAGGACAGCAAAATCTGATTGCTTTTTTTGTTGTTTGTAGTCAGCGCAGCCTGATTGTTCGCACCCATCCACAATCCCATTGATACATATAATTTATGAAGTACTTATAGGTAATATTGAAATGTCCCATGAGCAGAAACCAAGAAAATAAGTACGAGAAGGGAAAATTTTATTTTGTTTGTGAGAAAATAAAGTGGCTGCACCTTCTCTGCAAGATCAACATCAAGCTTGCTTGTTGCATAGTAATCTAGGAAGAACAACGGTTTTTCAGCTCAAGTTATGATGTTATTGATGCACATTGCCACCTGCCAAAATGGCCTAAATTCATTCAGTTCAGTCAACTTGTGATAGAGATAAGGAAAACAACCTACATTGCAGCTAACCACTTACAAGGTCAATGCCGACTATATCATAAATACCAATTTCGAAAGCAAGCTTCAGCTTTGTCCCCGGTCCGTCAGTGCTAGCAACAAGAAAATCGTCCCCTGTTCAGATAAAGCAACAGGAAAGCAATGTTTTAGAAAGTGCAGCCCAAGGATCACGGAATTGATATTATCGCTGCATCGAGTGAGAAGCAGCAAATAAACCAACCAACTACATGGTGCATACTTCTACAATTGTTGCATAGACATGTTTCCAACAAACAAGAACATTAAATTTGCATGTTTCACAAGCTAAAATCAATATTTAATTTATACTTAAATCACACAACAAGGGCTTAAGTCTTCACCACGACCATTCTTTAATTTTTTTTTACCAAAAATAGAGGATAAAGCAATGAAGTGATGCCCGTGTCATCCTGGCGATGGGGCGCACAAGCTCGGTGCAAGCGTCGATGTCCACATCGGCGCACAAGCCGGTGCTCGAGCTAAAGGACACGGACGCCCGCCGTGTCCCCGCAAGAATCTGCCGGAATCCACAAGGAAATCGCCCCCTGTTCAGAACTTCAGATAAAGGACACCATCAGATGTCATGGATCGGAGTGGGAGCGGGTAGCAGAGGAGCTATGGTGCCATTGAGGCCTACCGTGGCGGACGCCGAGACGTGGCGGCGGTAGGGAGCGGGCGAGTGTCAGGAGGGCCGCGAGGAAGAGGAGGCGGAGGTAAGAGAAGAGTGGGCATACCTATTGGGTGCTCGTCGCCAACGAAGGGCCCGATGTAGACCTGAGCACCTTGCGTGCGGCGGCGGCATCTTCTCCTCCTCAATGCTCCGTCCTAGGAGAAGGGAATGACAGGTGCGGGTCGGGCATGGGCGAGGTGGTGGCATAGGTCGAGGATGGCCTTGAGGCGGTGGCTCGGCCTTGTGGCGGCAGCGCGGCAGAGCGGAACGGGGCACGGCGGCGTCGGCGACGTGCGGCGGTGCAGATAGGCGCCCCGGCCCAATTTCCTGTGGCGAGCGCGACGGCGCGGGCGAGGGCGACGGCGAGGACGATGGCGCGGGCGCGACGAGCGCAAGGGCAGAGCGAGGGGAGAGGGAGAGGCGCAGTGGAGAGGGATCGAGACCGGGGTATATGGAAGAGAAGGGCGGAGCGAGGGGAGAGGTAGCGTGATTGGAGCTGCGGGATTGGAGTAGAGCGAGGGGCTGCGGGATTGGGGGGGAGCGGGGGTATCGCACGGAGCGGAACGAAGACGACCCCAAATAAAGTCGCACGAAAAAATAGTCTTACTTTTGTTCTTTTTAGTTGTAGGAGAGTAGGAGATAAATTCAGTTTCTTCCCACGAAGATTCAAATTAACATGTGTGCGGATTGTGCTTTTGCTATTTCTCAATCCATGAACCATGCTTCTTAATAGCGTTACAAAATTACCGCAGCAATGCACACAGTATCATCTGATATACTTAAATGTTCATATAAGTCGACATTATTTAGGAACAAATGCATTTAAAAAATCGCTTGAGTCTTGTACTATAATAAATAAGTAAATTAATCAAATACGATTGGCTTCGAGGATTTCTTGCATGACCCGCTTGAGCGCCCAGTCCTCTCTCACAATAGTACCGTGCTCAGCCCCATGAAGTTTGATGGACTTGTACAGCTTGTTCTGCTCCGGCTGCCGACGCATCTTCTCGTCGAACGCCAACATGCTGATCAAATTGATGGTATTGTCTCCGTCGCCATACACTATCTCGGGTTCCGCGTCGAAGTCGCCGTCCCAGTAAACCAGCTGCTCCGGCGTGCCGTTATTGCCCACTCCGTTGATGCACGTCGTCGGCACCATGGGGGCCTGGAAGGAGGTCATCTTCGGGACCGCTCGTCTCGTGAAAGGCTCCACGCCGGCGCCGAAGCCGATGTCGGCCAGGAGGTCCTCCACGTCGTAGGCGGAGTAGTTCCTCCGCGCGGTGACCACGAGCGGCCTGTCCCCGAACACCGCCGGGGACGGGATGTTGACGATGGAGGACTCGAAGCTCCTCCACATGGGCCTCAGCGTCAGCGATAGCTGGGCGACCGTGGGGATGTACATCAGGTCGGACCCGGAGACGAAGTAGTGCAGCGTCTGCACGAGCCCTTCCGCCGGCACCGGAGCGACGAGGATGAGGTGCTTGATGTACCTGTCTCGCCACGACATGGGCGTGCTCCGCACGAACTCCAGCGCCACCATCCCCCCGAAGCTGTGCCCGAAGAGGATCACCTTCTTGTTCTCGTTCTTCTCGCTCGCGTCCTCGATGAGCCTCGTCAGCCGCCGGAAGTAGCGCGAGAACACCTCCGATGACTGGCCGGGCACCGGCGGGGCGTAGCGGAGGTCGTACTGGGCGGCGAACAGGGTGTCGCCGTCGCGGTACCCGGCCTTTTCGAGCTCGTGTCTAAGGACCTCAAAGCACCAGGTCGTGTGCTCCGGGTTCCTCTGGAAGCCTCGGGAGGAGCCGAAGCCGCGCACGCGCGTCTCGACGCCGGGGAGGTTCCGGTAGTCGTTGGCGGCGGGGTCGTAGACGAGGGTCATCTGCTCGATGAAGCACTGCACGTAGTGGTGCGCGGGCAGGTCGGAGCAGTTGGCCCAGAGCCCGAACCAGCCCTTCCCCTTCATCGCGCCGCACCGCGGCACGGAGGGGCGGTAGGCGTCCGTGAGCCGCGCCTCCAGCTCGCTGCAGGTCAGCCCGGGAACCAGCACCAGCGGGTGGAGGAGGACCTCGCCGCCGCCGGTCGTTGTTCCGCCGCCGTTGGCAGCACCCTCCGACGGCTGGTGGTCGATCGTCGTCGTGGGCGAGAGGAGCTCCCGGAGGCCAGTGGGGAGCAGGAGGAGGAGGAGCGGCGCCACAACCTGGAGAATCCTCGCCATGGTGTTGCCGGCCGGCTGTGTGCCTGTGGGTAACGTAACCACGTTGGCACTCCTCAGTGCAGTGCACTCCAGTCGGTCACGTTCGTACGTACGCCTCTTATTTATTTGGCTCCACGACGATCACGTTTCCGAATCGGCTACCTTTCCTAGTAACGTGAAGCACGCCGTGAAGCACGCCGTCTCTTTCTGTTTCCAAAAGGACGGTAACGTGAAGCACGCCGTCTCCTTCTGTTTCCATCCCTTTCGTGCTCCTGTTTCCATCCCTTTCGTGAAAAATTTCAACACTGTTGATTGACTTCTACTGGTAGATCTTCACGAGGCGTTTTTCCTATCTCCTCCGATCCATACCTTTTTTGTTCTTATACTGTACTAGGTAGTGTGCCCGTACGTTGGTACGGGACAACTAAACTTTTGTACTAAAAATACATGGATCGCACAATAAAATAACAATACTGTGAAATTAAATACCCGTGCTAATGCAATGACGACCTTCGATAGTACAAACCAAACATTCAAAAACAAATGCATCGGTAACAAAGCGTATAGTGCTCGTGCTAATGCCATAACGGCATTTCAGATATGCTTAAGAAAACAACCAAACGAAGACACAAGAGATGAAGGGGCACGGGTGATTAAGGAATTAAAAATAATAACAACCGGCAAGGAATCAAACATGAGCAGATTATGTCAATTTTTACTGAAAATCAAACATTAGCTGACTATTACTGAAGAAATAGAGTACCAATGCATTCTTTTAGTGGAACTGTGCATTTGAAGGGGATAAAAAGAAGTATCATCTCATATATGGTCGAGAGATAAAGCTCTAATAAAATAAACCCCACAGCCAAACCAAAATAGAATCAAAGCAATTCAAACATCTGTAAACAGGTACTAACGATGATTCCAGTACAGATTCCTTGTTGGTTTGGCCAAAAGTCTAGCTTTTAGCCGCCAGATATGCATATATCTTTTAACTCAGATATGCATCCATATTTGATTATGAAAGCATACAGTATCTCAAAACACTTTCCAAGGAAAAAACAGATCATGTGTTCTCCGCCCAAGATGTTGTTCTAGCTTTAATTTCCTTGCTAGGAGGCTTAGAATATAAGGACCAACAGGCAGCAGCAACCAAAGCGCTTTAAAAATGCTAAATCATAATTAACCTAGGGGACTTAGAACTGATTGCAAGACCATGGGGAATCATCTAGTGTCCTAGAAAGATTGTTATGAACAGGGAGAGCCTAAGAGTGCCGAGCTGATTGGTGAAGCCCATAGCAAACAACCCTGGCTTCCTTGCCCTGAAGCAGATTGAAGGTGTAAGGAGATCTCTCACACAATTTCAGCCACAGCCAAACAAGGTGTTCCTGAACTCCAATGACCTGTTGCGCAACCTCCAGTACCTGAATGTGTCGAGCAAGAAGAAGAAATGATGTCAGCACTTTCTCGTCTTGTTCTGAGTTACAGGGGAAGAGGCACAATCCTATGTATAGAACAAGCAGAAAACTGGCACTTCCATATCTTGAGCAATAATTCCAAAAAAAATTACTCATGCAAGATATAACAACAAACAATTGAACCTGTTACCCTAGTACTTTAAGGACAATAGTCCACAGACACTTCCGTCCAAAATCTCCTTTCATCCTCATATACTGATATGAAGCATTAGTGCCAAATGGAATTGTCGTCTTTATATTAGACAGTTATCAGTGTTATCTGCTAAAGATAAGCCTCTGGCCTATGTACAAAACATGTTATAAGGAAAACTGATAGCTAAATATGGAATGCATTATCAGGTCAACCCAGGTAGAGAATATGTAAACCTCCCTTGTTCTTCTCGATCCAAAATTCCTACTCAAATAACTGGTTTTAGTTAGACCATCGCAGACAAAAAGATACTCCCAGAACAAACATTATTGAAGACATCAAACATCGAAAGACAAACAGGTTTAACTGATCCAACTTCTTATTTTTCCAAATTATCATCTAAAGCATTCCTGTTGTTGGAAATTTCTAAAAACAAAATACCATCGTGCCGCCGTCGAACAGGGTGGGCCAGCAGAGGCACGCATATATTAAGGAAAGCACAAATGTTCTGACCAAAGACCTGCATGAAGAGATAGAGGGATCAACTTCTCGACTGAAACCAGGTGAAAGCATCATTTTTTTCAAAGCACAAGAAAACAAACTCTGGGCTCTCACAACTGGGAAGCAGAAGGGGGAAATGCCAATGGCAGCGATCAGGAGAAGCAGAGTTTACTTGAATTTTATTCTCAAAATCCTCCATTGACAACTGCATCAAATTGAACTCTGGATTCAATTCAAGCTCTCTCTCTCTCTCTCTCTCTCTCTATATATATATATATATATATATATATATATATATATATATATATATATATATATATATATGGAGAGTATATTCAGTAGCCAGCTACAAAATAAGTTATTCTGTAGCCACCTTCATTTACGATAATTTTATATACTAATTTACGATAATGTCAATACATATTTACGATAGTTGGGTTACTATAACACATGGGATATTTACTATAACGTTATAGTAAACCACATAGTAAGGAGTTACTATAATCTCGTAAATTAGCATAGTAATTATCATAACTCAAAGTGGCTACAAAATAAGTTATTTTGTAGCCAGCTACAGGTAGTAGTTATATATATATATATATAAGGATTTCATCCTACAAATACTTGTCATCAAAGTTGTGTCAAGTCTAGGTGCTCAGTTGAAAAGTGCAGTGATGATAGACATGGAAAATGGTGCTACAAAATTGTTCTACTATTATCTGACATGTGAATGGATTTATGGAACTGTACAAATAAAGTCAGTTTCTGCAAGAACATACCAAACAATAAATTTAAAAAACAGAACACCCTATGCGGCCACATGGTCAGGAAATTTGGAAAATGTATAGTATATCGCCCATGCTAACACTGCAGCGATATCTGGTAATACAAATCAAACAACCAAAAATATTTCAATTTGATAAAAATGGAATGGACATATCTATTACAAAGGTTACCTGCTATTATTCTTAGCCCCCATGGACTCAAGACATGAATCACAAAACAAAGCAAATTTCTCAATGCGGAGTGTGCAAGATAAAGCAATTAAGCAAGCTGAGCAAGGTATGGATGAGGGGAGGAATAACAAACTTTTGCAGGCTTTGCATCTGAATGTTCTCTTTTGAGGTGCTGGGCCTTTTGCCTTCCGTATTGCAGACCGCAACATGTCTAATGTAGCATTTTGTGCCTTCCGTATTGCAGACCGCAACATGTCTAATGTAGCATTTGTCCATGCCCTCAATACATCATGCAGACTATTTCCATTTTCCAGCAAAAAGTAGTCGGATGGGTGATTTTTGGTACTCTCAGCATTTACCTCAAAGTAGTAAGGTGAAACAACCTGCAACTCATGTTCTATTGGTTCAATCCTCAAAGCTCGGATAAATAGGTGGTGATTTTGAAGAAGAGGAGAAAACTCACTTTTCAGCCTTTGCATGAAGAGCATGAGCACAGTATGCCGATGGCTTTGATAACTCACCAGAGTACCGCTCGCTGAAATAAGATGAGAAATAGATCCTTGGTCAAAATTACAGTAACCACGATACTGACCACGGAATAAGACATGGAAAATACAAGTGCATGGTACGATATCTTGGCCTCCAAAACAGCAAATAGAGATCACATCTCACTTAATGCGTCATGTTTTTCTTTTTTTTATGCCGAAAAGATAATACAGGCGCAGTAGGCCATGCTCTTGTCATAGAGGTGCCGAAAAGATAATACAAGTGCACTGTAGGCTCAATTGGGCTCCTGGAAATGAACAGAATGGGAAGAATTAAAAGGGCATGCAATTCCATATCTCGCAGATTAATAAATTTGTCAAAAACCCAACTCCATGGCAGTTCCCAGATTTAGATACACTAAACCTAATCTCCCTGCTCATCCTACACAAGAAACAATGCAAACAACTACTGCAATGGGCGGTGTCTTTCCATTCTTGGCTTATAAGCACACAGATTAAAAGATACGGCCACCATGTTTGAAGTAAAAATGCTATCACGAACAAGAAAACAAATCGGCAAAATTAAACAAGCACCTCCGCGGATGAATCGTCAGGAAATTAATAATTTGTCACGCTTGGAATAATTTCTGGTACTATGTAGTAATAATCTTTTGTTAGCATGCCTAAAATTTTGGAAACGGATTTGAATCCGAGGAAGAGAGAAATCGAAAAGATTAGTTCAATGATGAGTAGCACGAGCAACACGTACATGTTGGCACACGCACCACGCAGGCACATACCTGGATGGGCAGCGTGTCCATGTCGGCCCGGAGCGCGACAATGGGCGGGCGGCCGGTGCCAAGCGTGGCGGCGACATCGGTGCGCATGACCAGGTGGTGGAACCCGACACCCATGGCGTCCAGCTCGTCGCGGGCGAGGCGCGCGTAGGAGGAGAGCTTCACGTCGAGGTCGCCTTCCAGCTTGCGCGCCTCACGCCGCAGCTCCTCCCACTCGGACTCCTGTAGCTCCAGCGCCACGGCCGCATCCGACGATGACGACATCATCTCCGGCTCCGGCACCGGCACCGACGAAGCGCGAGATCCAATCCGGTGAGGGGTCCGGGGTTGCTTGTGACGCGAAGAAGAAGCAGGGAAAGTGGGGAGTACCTCCGATCTGGATCCGGCCACGGGGCCGTGCCGTCGTGGGGAGCTTTGGACTCGCAAGGAGGGTGGGTGCGGCCGGCGTCACGGCCAGCTCCGGGCGGGCGTGGGCTGCGTCGCGGCGAGTGGGTGCGGCGGCGGCGCGGTCAGCTGCGGGTGGGCGACGATGGGGAGGCGGGCGGAGGAATCACAGGAGCGGTTTCCTTTTGTGCGGCGTGGACTCGTGGTGATCGCAGGGGAAGACAGACCGAGGGAACGACGGGTGCGGGATTGCAGGCATGGACAGACAAACGAACCAAAACAAATGTTGCACCCAAAAAATATCCATGTTTTATTCTTTTTAGTTGTAGAAGACTTGTACTTGTTTCATTATTTTTCAAAAATAGAGGGCGTATTAATCAACTAGTAGAAGTTGCCAACGCATGCATTAGACAAGCATTAGGCCAGCACGGTATTGACGTTTTCAGGTCACGCAAATTCACCTGAATCACACTCACAAATGTACGAGCCCACAAAGTGAACACGCATTCGCATTACGTGCTGAGTTCTGCTCGGCAATCACACGGTTTCAATCACGCGGGCACCACCCCCTCACCAAGATTTCATGTCTGACATTAGAGACAGCTGAGAAACTGGACTTCCAATCCTACTTAACCTTTCCAAAACATACTGGTTCCAACTTGCAGATGAACCGGTCGTTATCATACCACTAAAACCATAGCCAAAAAAACGAACTTAAGAAGCTCATGTAAGTGCACAAGCATCTTTCATATTTATCTAAAATTAATCCTGAGCTCTAATTTCAATGTGCAAAGAACATTTGATGCCTGGGAATTGATAGCGATGGTGTAGATCTCTACTGCTTGAAGTAATCCTTCAGCTTCCTCAGCCAGAGCAGGTACTCACGGCTGTCCTTGTTGATCATGTACTCGTGCAAGAAGTTTGTGGTCATTGGTGAAATGCCACGCAGCTCCAGGTACTTGTGGAATGCCCTCTGCAGGTTCTCATCAAGGTCACTGCACATCCAAGAAAATGTAGATTGTCAGCGCCATAAAACGATTTGCTAAAGCATTTGAACACTCAAAAAACGAAAAATGAGTTGGCTTAGGTATTTCTTCTTACTTGAAATCAGGACCCCCATATGCAATCATGTCATGTTCATCATCCCCTGAGGGCTGTGTCACGGACAAGGAGTTGATGAGGACCTCGTCAGGATAGGCAGTGCAGGTGAATTCAAGGACCGGGCCATCACCCTTGGAGATAGTGACTGTGAGAGGAACGCTGGACTGTTCAGGCTTCTGGCCTTCGTCTTCCTCATTGTCATCTCCCTCCTTGTCCTCACCCTCGTCCTCACCATCACGGTCATGATCAGGCTCATCTCCAGTGACGAGGCTGGGCATGTGAGCCACGACCTCAATCTGCTCACCCTGATATGTTCTTTTAAGGGTAACTACATTCGTCCCCTTCTCGTCGCTGATTTTGAAAGGGAAGTTATCTGGAATCTCCTCAACCTGTTTTGAAATGAACTGATGAGAGCCTAACCACAAAACAAATCTACTAAAATGAACAGGCAGACAAGACAATGTTCTCTACACAAGATAAGAACAGGCTGATTGATCCCCAACATGTTTGCCATCATGTTGTATTCACACAGGATGGCTCACACATCAAACTCCATTTCATCTTTGATTACCAGAAATCATATATGGCTGAATTAAACCAGTAAGGCATTGCATTACAAAGGCTGACTCCTCTTCTATCCTACCATGTAGCTATTAGAAATAACAAATAGTATCAAATCAAACAAAAATAAAAATATTCTAAGCATTCTAAAGTACTCCCTCTATTCCAAATTGTAAATCGTTTTGGTTTTATAGCTACATAGTTTTTGTTATGTATCTAGACATAGCATATAGATAGATGCATAGCAAAAGTTGTGTACCTAGAAAAGCCAAATAACTTACAATTTGAAAAAGAGAGAGTATTGTAAATGGGTAAAGTGGCATCTAATTTATCTATTTTTCTGCTCCCTTGCAACCAGAGAGTAATACTAATTCAGCAGCCATGGTCGCATGGATGCTTAGATTGGAACCACAAGGCCAACCACACTGCTCATACTGATACACAACCACTCCAAGTAGTGGCAAGCATGCATCAGCTTCCCTAAACAGAAACCCAGTATAACAACAAATTAACAAAGGACAAGCGGCAGATGAATCTAAAGAAACCAGGCAGTCAAGGCAGTGAAGCTACAGGAAAAAAAAACTTTCTTAGGACGAGGTCCAACTGCCCAAGTGTACAAAACACTATAGGATGGGTATATTATATTTATATAGTCACTGAATAAACAAAGGCATCGAAATAAATTAAAATCATAAGGGCATTTAAGAATAACAGATTATGTGTGCCAAAAGTATCACAGTTTGAAGATGGAAACTGGCATGTCACAGCCCAAATTCTGCCTCAGTGCAGAAGAATTACGAGCATTGAATAAAGTGGAAACAGGAGTACAGGATCAACGCTACCAATCACAGAATGAGCATATAGATTTGACCAAAAATAGAAACACAACAATACTACCTAAGGTCCTCCGTTTTGGAGGACCCATCAGGTGCAACAGAATAAATGACAGGTCATCAAATAATCTACCTAATAACAGGTCATAATATGCCCGGTCGCGTGTCTGAATTTACAGTGACAATGAATCTGGGTGCAACAAACAAGGATTGATTTTTACTCTAAGATCGCAAAATAGACATGCACACATTGTAGATAGGGGAATCTGCTCGTTTACCCTGTCGTGGTCGTCGCAGTCCTCGGCGTACTTGATCTCGGAGTCGATGACGCTGAGTAGCTCGGCGTCGGAGCTGGGTCTCGTCGCGGGCGCCGAGGAGAACGGCATCGAGCGGGGCTTCGGCCGCGCCACGGCGGCAGCGAGGGGCCGGTGCAGGGCGGCGCTGCGGTGGGACCCCGAGGAGGCGGAGGCGCGGAGGAGGATGGGCACGGAGGAGGCCGCGGCGCGGCGGGCGGCGGCGAAGAGGGCCATGGCGAAGGAGGCGGCGGCGGCGGTGGCGGCGTGTGAAGGCCTACTAGGGTTTTCTGGGTTTTAGGGGTCGGGAGTCGGGAGTCGGGAGTTTTGTAAAGGCGTGGGGTGGCTTACTAAGAAGGGTTAGCGGTGGTGGGACCCATCTGTCGGTTTGATCTCTAGTCTCCCATTCCATGATTTACGCCCAAGCTGTACTTCTTGGAAACAAGAAAGAACTGATGTTTCAGATTTGTTTTAGCATCTTAAAAAAATCAGTTTTTAAAAAAAATCTAAGAATAAATTGAAGTTTTGAGAGTCTTGTTTCTGTCAAGTGCCAATCAAAGAAGTCGTCACAGTTATCATGTGTACGTGTTCAGGTTTTTGAACAACGAATTTTACTGGATTTCGAACTTGTATGACCTCGGAAACCAGAAGTAGAAGTATATGCTCAAGCTCACCACACTATTCAAACAAAACAGATATCCTAAGCAAGATTTAGAATGCCCTCATTTCTGCACAACGACAGGCTCATCGCACTGTCGCAGCCACCAGAATTCGACAACGGCCCTGTTCGTTTTGCTGAAAAATCATGGCTGAAAGTACTGTTCGTTGATTTAATGTGAGAAAAAAATACTGTTCGTTCGCTGAAATAGTACGGCTCATAAGACAAGTGAACAGAGCCAACATACATCCAGATTTTTTTTTTGGGAAAGGAGATTACATCTGCTTTTAAGAAAGCATATAAGAGTTTTACAACTGGGGATACCAGTTAACACTCACGCATTACAGCAACAGCAACCCTTGCTAAACAACAAGAAAACAGGTAAAACCAACTAGCGTAGACACTAAAGGATAAAGCTCTTCAGAGCACACGCCTAACAGGAAGACAGATATGTATCCTAATACCTAATTGCCACCACTAAACATTACTGGAAATCTACTTGCTCCTGTTTTGCCAGCTGATACAGATACATTGAGGCAGATACGATTCTCCTTTTTGGAGTGCAACCAATTTCGTGTAATCATAGTATTCCTGTAAGGCTGTAAGCCTGTAACACATGCTAAGGCTAGGCTCTACCAAAACTGTCGTTCCTCATTGCTTGACGAAATCCTTCAGCTTAGTCATCCACCGGATGTACTCCTGAGCCTGCTTAGTCACCATGTAGTCGTGCATATAGTTGGTAGCCGACAGCGTTACCCCCCTTTGCTCCAAGTATTTGAACAGGCCTTTCTGAACATTCACAGGGAGCTCGCTGCAATACAAACGAACCAGTAAATGAGTGGATTAGTATCTTGCATTTCATTATTACAGGACTTAAATGCACGCCAAAACTGATATTGCTTACATGAACTCAGGGCCCTCATAAGGGAACTTCTCTTCTCCATCATCGTCTGTTCTCTCTACTATTAGCATATCATCAATGGTGATCTCCTCACGAAAGGCTGTGCATGTGAACTCAAGCTTTGGGCCAGAGTCTTTGGAAACTACCACCTTAAGAGAAATGCTGCTATCTCCGGCACTCTCATCATCTTCTTCTGCTTCTTCATCATCCTTGGCAGAACTCTCACCATCGCCCTCACCATCCTCATCATCAAATTCAGGGCCTCCTTCTAAATTAGGCATGCTGACAGTAACCTCAATCTTCTCATCCTTGTAGTCCCTTCTCAAAATAACCACGCTCATACCATCTTCGTCAATTATTTCAAATGGGAAGTTGTCTGGAACAGGTTCCTGACAAAAGAAGGAAAAAATGAATATAGCTAAGCTAACAACCTTATATATTTGCAAAATCAAGGACCCAAAGTAGGGTGGAACCAGAAAAGTGAATTTTTATGTTAAATGTCAAATGTTGCAGAAAGTAACATCTGCCCAAAGTCTTTTCAGGACTGTGCATCACCAGATAAGCAGTCAACCTCAATGTCAGTTTGAACATTGCTCTCACGTGGAGCCTCAAAGTAGTTCAAAACTTGAAGCCGAATTCTCAACAAATTCAATCATTGGTCTTTGGTCCCACTAATTGTGAAGTCACAGTCCCTAAAAATCATTAGAATGATTGGGTGATTTGACATCAGCTGAATGATTGCAGCTGTTCAGAAGAAAAATGATAAAAAAATATATGCGGGCTTCTTTTGCATTATACAATGAAGAGGCAACATGGTATCGAGCCAGTCTCATTCAAAGAAGTACCAGCAGCATGCTTTATTGGTCATGTATATGTTCATGAAACACAGGAAAAGAAAATACCTAAGACAAGATGGTTTACTTATATAATTAGACTCTTCAGTGGATATTCATGTCAACATCCGAGAAAAAACAAATGCAAGAAAGTCAGGAATCTGGATGATTGAACACAGTGAATAACAGATGCAAGGAACAAAACAGCTCTGAACACTGACTGACTCATATAGCATATTTGCAGTATGATTTCCACTAACAGAATATAGATACCACGACTGCAGAATTTTGATACCGAGTTGTGCAGATGGAAATATTATCCATGTAAGAACACGAAATTGTTTAATCCACTACCACCAAGGTATTAAAATTTCCTTTCAGGAGATAAACCTCCTCCATTTGTATAGTACATAAGTCACTAAAAAACTCTCGGTGTTATTATTAATCAAACCGTTTATGCCAGCATTAAGTGGTCAGATTACCCACAAAAAAAAGGCTGTTAGGTCCTGTTGTGAATTGAGCTCTTTCCTAACACACCAAATTATAGATGGATCTTCAAAGTAGTGGTAAATTAGTAGCTAGCACGAGTATTGAGCTCAGTGAGCAGAAGCGATAAATTCCTACCTATCATTCGCAGACATTCATAACACACGACAAATTTCAGTAAAGTTGCCATCTCTCCATCACAAATTTCTCTCTAATACCGTAATACGGCCCAATACAATTCTTCTACTCGCGAAATCCCCACTACTCTGATAAGGGGAATACGTTTACCACATAATTCGACGGAAACTGAACAATTCAAGTCGCAAAGCACGAGGGACCCACAGTCACCTGCTCGTCGCTGTCGAGGTACTCTTGCGCTTCCCTGATCTCGACGTCGAGGGCTCCGGCGAGGTTTCCGGCGCCGGACCCTTCTTCTTCTTTCCTTAGCCTTGCTCTCCAACACCACCGGCGCCGAGTTGGGGCCCTTCGCCGCGTGAAACGGAGCTGAGAACGGCTGCCGGCGCCGCGGGCAGACGCACGCGCCAACGCTGCGATCTGGGGACAGGACGGAGAGGAAGGAGGTGGCGGAGGCGGAGGCGGCGGAGGTTGCAGAGACGAAGGCCATGGCGGTGTAGGTGAGTGACGCAGGAGGGGATAAGACGAGGAAGAGGGAGTAGAAGCCGAGTAGGGGTTTGCTTTGGGTTTTGGATTGGAGGGCTTTATTGCTTGGGCAGAAGCAGAATGCGCATGGGCTGCTGGTTTGTGTGGCCCACACGTCAGTGAGAAGTGACGGTACAAACACGTCAGTGAGACGGTGTTTGTAAATTTGGTAGAAGAACTGAATTAGTGTAACTCGAAAGCCAAAAAAAATTGTTGAGAATCTTTCAAGAAACTGAACAACTTTCGTATGGGAATTCGACTTCTGAAAGTTGAGTTTTTGGTCCTTATTAAGGAAAAGTGACAGTTGTTCGTTGGATATCCAAAATTGATAGTCATTCGCTGGTAGACATTCCGTTTTGAGCAGTTTGCCACAAGACACTCTGGTTCAGTGAAATTAGGCCACATGACATCGCGGACCGGTTGCAGCCGGTTGAGGAGAGAGAAAATTTCGTTTTAGACATCCGGTGCCCCCGAGCCTGATTAGGTCCGCCTCAACTTCTGGTCTGGTTGGACCCCAACGGAGGGATGGCGGGAGGGAAGGCAGCGCGAGAGGCCGCTGCCGGAGGGGAAGGCGCGGGCTCCACCAACCATGGCTCCGCTTGACCGCGGCTCCACATTGCCACGGCGAGGCGACCTCAACGTCATCCTCAGAAAGAGTCTCGCACCGCCGCCCATGACGCTGGCTTGACGCCATTGGTGACCTCGCACTCGCGACGCTTGCGTGGTGATTCGTCTGCCCGCCTCCTCCATGACGTGAGCTGGTGGCGCGACTCTAGGGCGAGGTGCCCTCGCCTCCAATGGGCCACCTTGTGCATCGGTGGGCGAGGCCCAGTGCCTCCACGACACCTCGCCGGCGGAACGCTGCAGGTGAGGCCGCCCGTCGCCTTCATCGCACTCCCGGTCGGAGGAGCTATGGGCAGGCTGCCCGCCACCTCCATCACTGCGCCGGTGGAGCTTCGTGTTCGTGGCGTGGCGAAGCCACTTTGGAGGAGCCATGGCTAGCTGAGAGAGCATGCAGGCATCAACAAAGTCGACAAGATCATCTTCTCAAGCAACAAGATCCACTTCGGCTCCGACTACACCTTCCGGCTTCCACCCCCCCGCCTTCGCCTCCAAGTAGTCAGGCCGCCCTACCGCTCTCACCGAGCGTCTTCCTCGCAAAGACCATGACCTCAAGCACACCGACTTCATCCAGCGCTACCGGCCAGAGATCCCGCCCATCTCCCTCCCCGACCGCAAGACCTTCCTCAACTTCCTCCACGCGTGAAAGGTCCTAATATGGCTAGAGGGGGTGAATAGTCTATTTAAAATCTACAAATCAACTAGAGCAATTTGATTAGTATAACAAATAGCGAAATGCAAACTTGCTCTAGCTCTACAAGGGTTGCAAGCCACCTATCCAATAATTCTAATTGTTATGATCACTAGGCACATAATTCACTAGGTCACTACTCACTAAGAGCTCTCACAATTGCAACACTAAAGAGCTCCACAAGATGAACTTAATCCACAAAGCAAGCTCTCAATTCTAGCTACACTAAAGAGCTTGATATAGCTAGTTTGCGGGAATGTAAATGAGTAAGTGAGATGATTATACTGCCGCGTAGAGGAGTGAACCAATCACAAGATGAATACTTTATCAATCACCGGGAGAATACCAAAGGGCAAGAGACAACCAATTTTCTCCCGAGGTTCACGTGCTTGCCAACACGCTACGTTCCCATTGTGTCGACCAACACTTGGTGGTTCGACGGCTAAGAGGTGTTGCACGAACCTCGTCCACACAATTGGACACTACAAGAACCTACCCACAAGTGAGGTAACTCAATGACACGAGCAATCCACAAGAGTTACCTTTCGGCGCTCCGCCGGGGAAGGTACAAATCCCCTCACAATCACCGGAGATGGCCACGAACAATCACCAACTCGTGCCAATCCTCCTCCACTGCACCAAGCCGTGTAGCTGGTGGCAACCACTAAGAGCAACAAGTGAATACCGCAGCGAAACACGAACACCAAGTGCCTCTAGATGCAAACACTCAAGCAATGCACTTGGATTCTCTCCCAATCTCACAAAGATGATGAATCAATGATGGAGATGAGTGGGAGGGCTTTGACTAAGCTCACAAGGTTGCTATGTCAATGCAAATAGCCAAGAGAGTGAGCTTGAGCTGACCATGGGGCTTAAATAGAAGCCCCTACGAAATAGAGCTGTTGTACCCCTTCACTGGGCACAACGCGGGGTGACCGGACGCTCCGATCATATTGACCGGGCGTTCCGGTGCGTCCGGTCGTGCGATGTGTGCCACGTGTCCCCTTGCTTCAAATGTTGATCGCCTCCCTTGTCTCATGGGGCACGGCGCCAAAACCGCTCCCCTCCACCGTCTCATGCGGCGCGGCGCCAGAGCCGCTCTCCTCTATCACCTCGTGGGGCATGGCGCCAGAGCCGCTCCCCTCCACCGTCTCATGGGGTGCGGCGCCAGAGCCGCTCCTCTCCATCATCTCTCGGGGCGTGGCATCGGAGCCGCCCCCCTCCACCAGCACCGCTGGGACGGTCTCGGATCCATCCCCTCCCATCCACCGATCCTCCACCGGCACCCCGAGGGTAACGATGGATCCACCGGCTCCCACCGGACCTAGGGGCGGGCTCGGCTCCATCGTTCCCACAAACTCACTTCCCTCCGCGTGGAACAGGAAGGGTCCCTGCGGGGGCAACAAGTCCTCGTCCACCAGGTCACCCCAATCCACGCCGGCCGCTCCCTCATCGGACTCGTCATCATCATCTTCACTGCTCGTCTCCTCTCCTCGATCTCGAGCTTGCTGCTTCCGTATCACCTTTTTCTTCATGAGCTCCCTCATCCTCTTGTCCCAACCAGCCGCGGCGCGGTTCGTTGCCACCCGGGTTGGGTCCTTCGGCAACGGAGCCGGGCTGTCCTTGAAGTGTAGTCCCCCCGGCTGGTCCTGCCATCCCGAGGTTAGCATCAGGGGATCAGAAATTTCAAGTAAAAAGAGAAGCGAAGGGAAAAAAGACTTACGAAGTCAACAAACCCTGGCTCCGGCCGCATTGGGGGATGTCCCGGCACCGGATACACAAAGTCAAGAACGGCGCCACGGGAGTCCTTCGTGGGCTCCATCGCCTCCTTGACGCACTGCGCCACTTCAGAGTAAGGGAGCGCCTCGTCAACGAGCACCGTCCCTTCGAACGACGCTTCGGGCACCATCTGATACAGGGTAGGCGCCGATGATCCCCACCCCCTTCACGCCCCTCTGCTTCAGAGTTTGGAGGGCGGCGAGAAGGTCGTTGAGTAGCTTCTTTCCCTTACCCGGGACGCCCCACCCCCACGACCCTGAGGCCTCCAAGATGTAACGCCCGATGAAAGCTGGCAAGGGGGCGGCGGCGTCATTCTTGACATAGAACCATTGCGAATGCCACCCCTTGTTGGAGGTAGACAAACGCATTAGCGGGTACGTCCCCCCTCGGGTGTTGCGGAGGTGGATGCTGGCGCACCCCACCGACGCATGCAGCTCTTGCTGCCCGACCCGCGTCTTCACCAAGGTGACGGCAAAGAGATACCGCCACAGGTTAAAGTGGGGACTGATCCCCAAGAACCCCTCACACAGGGCGACGAACACCGCAATGTGCTGGATCCCGTTGGGGGTAAGATGCTGCAGTTCCACTTGATAGTAGTCCAGCAGTCCCTGGAAAAATGGATGGGCGGGCATGGCGAATCCCCGCTCATGGAAGTGAGCAAAAGACACGACGTACCCTTCAGGCAGCTGCGGCTCCACCTCCTCACCGGGCAGCCGCCACTCCTCGGCGGCGATCAATGGGCAAAGGAGGCCTCGGCGGACGAGGCCCTCCAGGCGCCAAAGGGAGATGTTGGATCTTTACCCCGGGTCCATTGCGACGGCGGGAGAAGCATGGAGAAGAAGGCAACAGTGAGCTTGACGGCAGCGACGGCGCGGGCGTAGGAGGCTAGGGCGATTGGCGGCGGAGGTCTCTGACGCGAAGGCAAGGGGGCGAAACACGAAACCCTGGGGGCGAACCCCGTGGTTTTATAGGGGCGACAGATGCGAGAAAGGCAACCGTCTGCCTCGATCTCTGGGCCTGCGCACCATCGCGTCACGTCGCGGGACGCGCCCACGATCCCTATCCTCTCCCACCGGAATCGCGCTGGACGGTTTGCCTTCCCGAAGCGATCGGACTCTTTTCCCACAGATGGGACGTGGGCCAGAAAAATCTCTTCTCCAATCTGCCTGGGCCCATTACGACCAGGGCTCGGTCCGAACCATCTCGATGGACGCCCCAGCGAGGGATGGGCCCGCAAAATGACCAGGACTCAAGGACGCAAGCATCGCCAGGGCCTCGATCCATGATAGCTCCAATCAGGCCAAACCTGAATGAAATCCCCATGAACAGGATACCACGATCCCCGCAAAAAATATCCAGTCAACGAAACACCGAGTCTTGCGGCCTTACCCGCGGAGGGTTCGATACTACCCCTCGGGCGATTCTATTCAAATCACCCGGGGGCTCGGGGGCTACACCCACCAGGTGCGCTCGCGCGCACCCTCTCGTGGATTGACTTCGACGAAATTGAAACACCCCCCAGGCGATTCTACTCGAATCACCCGGGGGCTACACCCATCGGGTGCGCTCGCACGCACCCTCTGGCGAACTAACTCTGACGAAACCGAAACACCCCCGGGTGATTCTGCTAGAACCACCCGGGGGCTCGGGGGCTACTGTCGGGAACTAAATACCGAGGTACCCAGGGAGGTGGAACTAATAACCATCGAACGTTAAAAAACTCCCGAACGGACAGGGGCACCACAACGCTTCTTGCCCGAACAACAGGAGTTTGGTTTCGCCTCGCCCGATGCCCGTCGACCAGCTCTGCCTCCCCCGATGGCTGGGGGACAGCTCCGCCTCACCCGAGGACTGAGGGCTAGACTTCGCCTCAC